GCACCCAAAAAACGAGTGAGGTGCATTTGGTAGTGAGGGTCAGCATATTGCGTTGGTGTTTTTAGGCCATTCTGCGCACCCAAAAAAACGAGTGAGGTGCATTTAGTAGTGAGTGTTATTAGGTCATTCTGTTCACCCAAAAAGAACGAGTGAGTTGCATTTAGTAGTGAGGGTCAGCATATGCGTTGGTGTTATCGGTTGTTGGCTCTACATTGCGCCATAGCAGACGCTGGGGATGCTGAATGTTTTAGGGTTTATTTTAGTGTTTGAGTTCGCATGTGGAGAATTGCTGTGACTGACACATTTCAGTAAACCCGCAAACGAATCACAGTCTCCTACTGATTTCCTATCTCTTGTCCCTATATGTTTCGCCCTATTTAGGGTTTTTAGAGTGAGCTAAAAACCTTATCCCTATTTACCTACACCTAAAATAAACAAATCCAACCTATTGGCATTGTATATTCAAAATACTTCAATCTAAACGATCAAGTAGGTAGATGCATGCCATGCGTTGTAGTAGGTAGATGCATGCCATGCGTTGTAGTGGGTAGATACATGCCATACTTTGTAGTAGGTAGATGCATGCCATGCGTTGTAGTAGGTAGATGCATACCATGCGTTGTAGTAGGTAGATGCATGCCATATTTTAGTAGGTAGATGCATGCCATGCGTTGTAGTAGGTAGATGCATACCATGCGTTGTGGTAGGTAGATGCATGTCATATTTTTAGTAGGTAGATGCATGTCATGCGTTGTAGTAGGTAGATGCATGCCATACTTTGTAGTAGGCAGATGTATGCCATGCATTGTAGTAGGTAGATGCATGCCATACTTTGTAGTAGGTAGATGCATGCCATGCGTTGTAGCAGGTAGATGCATGCCATACTCTGTAGTAGGTAGATGCATGCCATGCTTTGTAATGGGTAGATGTACGTCATACTTTGTAGTAGGTAGATGCATGTCATGCGTTGTAGTAGTTAGATGCAGGCCATGTGTTGTAGTAGGTAGATATATGCCATACCTTTTGCCTGTGCGGGACATGTGCAGGTATTCGCTTGTGATGGGTATTTTGTCAATCATCTTCCAGTCGTTTTCACCTACCACGTGGTACAGCGACTGCGATGGCCCGAGAGACAGACACACATGTCAGTCTACAAGATCACTATAACGGCCAAACCCTAAGAACCGTAAAAACCCTAACACGACCGAAGCAAGAACTATATCAGTTTGATAGGGTTTTAGGCCTAAAGACTCAACACTAAAATCCTATACTATAGCAGTCAAACTTTAACGCAAGGCGAGGTAAAGCCATGACAATGAAATACACAGGAAGGTTGAAAAGGCATTTCAGCAACAAATAGCAACTGGATATCCTCTGAGCGGTGACAGCAGCAGTTGCCATGGCAACCACCAACGTATTTAAGAGACACACTCGCAAGCTTCAGCCGCCCATGGAAACGCGTTAATCGTTTCCACAGATATGAAGTGTTACGCGAATGATATTAAAACGGAGCACGTGCGTACTCCCGTGTGCGCGCGCAAATCTCTATATAAGGATCTGAAACTACGCTGTGGGCATATCCGATTTCGTGGACATATGACGACACAGTCCAAAACAAAAAAGACAACGCACGATCAAAAACAGATATGAATTTAAATGCGCATGTTTTAAGAATCAGATGAAGTGGATTCAGTGCAGACGAACTGACTACTTTGCGTGGACTAGGCACAAGGGTACTTACACACACACACAAACACACACACATACATACATATATACATATATACAT